GGGGGAAACTCTGGCGTGTGGGCGTGTCTGCTTTGATCACTCTTATTTATGTAGGAAAGCCCGGGTTTTTGCAACTCCCGAAGTAGATTATGTGCTTCAATGCAAAATTCCGGTAATTTCCGGTTACGCGAGGTTTTTTTATAGTGACCGGCTTGCCGCTTCGCTTTCGAAGCTGTGGTTATGTAGTTGTCAAGGAACTGGAGGGATGGTGATCCCCTTGCTTGAATCTATTTAGCCGTCCTCCCAAGGTGACGGCTGAATTTGTTGCTCACGCGTTAAGTTGCACTTAGCAAGCCCCGGTACATTACGTCTAGATCACTGCATTTCGGACTAAGGACAAGGGCTCACTCGGAGAAATATCCTGTTGCTCTGCCAAATGCTCTCGTTTTCACCATCAGATGTTTGCTTGTATGGTCCGAAAGCTCTCAACAACGTTTTTCTACTGCTCGATGGAGTTTTGAGTTGAAACCTTCATTATCTTGCCTAAAATAGAAGGGCTAAGATGGTGATCTGTACCTCCAATGCAGGAATGTTTGCATCGGAAGCGTGCATCGAAAATCGATGATGCAAGCTAGGAAGATCAAGTACGATATCATCGGACTCACCGAAACGAGAAGACACCAACTGTCGAAAGCCAGCTCTGAAACTAGAGAAGAACTACAAGAATCGGACGTTTGCGAATAAGAAGTTGTGGCTAAATCCCAACTACAACAATTTTCGTTGTTTACGCAACAGCATCGAGCTACGACTAAGAAGAGCTGGAGAGCTTGCACAGAGAAGACCATACTTTCTTCAAGGTCATCGTCGGTAATTTCAGCCGCCAAGGTTGGCTTCAGAAGAGCAGCTGAAGAGCTTCACACCGGGCGGAATGAAGTAGAATGAGCGGGGTAAAAGGTTACTCGACTTCATTGTGTCGACCCACACTATGCATAGTAATTTGCAGTTCCAAAAGCGCTTTCACTCCTGATGGACATGGGAGTCACCTGGTGGACAGTTCCATGACGAAGCAGATTACATCATCGTCAATCGAAAGTTTTGCTTGGCTGTCGTCGCTGTTGTTCCAAATTTCTACACGGGATCAGAGCATCGCCTCCTTCGCATCAGGTTCCCATTTTCAATGTGTGGAGAGAGCGCTGCGATCTTCAGGAAACGAAGCCCTTCAGGACTGTTCTCAACTGGGATAAATCGCTTCACTGACGACTTTGTGGGAAGATCTTGTTAGCGACAATATCGATGAAGAATGGCTAGTCGAACATTTCCACGATAGCACCAGGAAAGCAGAGAGTTTCAGAAATGCCAAGAAACGTCCCTTTTCAGAGGCTCGTTAGCTAATACGCTAGCGTAGAATGGCGGGAACTGCAGGCAATAATCAGGCAACATTCGAACTTGCAAGGCTATGCAGGAAAGCGATAAATGAAGATCTGAAAGAGAGAGGAGCAACAGTTTTAACTGAAGTCACCGAGGCTGGAAAGAGCATTCGCAATGCCCGCCGGAGCCCCAGCTAAACAGATTCGTCAATTGTAAGACCAAGATGTTTTCTCTTCGTCGTCCTGACGGAGCAGTTCCTGCATCTCGAAGAGGGTCGTCTACGCCTTCTATTATGGGCTCATCGATAACCAGGTCTAGTCGACTGCCTACCTGCCACCTTGGGTAAGACGTATACGTCGTCCTTTCAGTTCTCCTTTCCGAAACTCGACATGCCATCATGTCAGTGAGGAATCGTACGGCGCCCGGTCCCGACAAAATTAAAGCAGAACATACAAAAAGCCCCCCCCCCACGATTTGTTGTCAAAACCCTGGCCCGGTTCTTCGCACGGTACCTGCCGGAATGCGGTGTGCCCTTTTCGCGAAAAACTATCAAGACCATGTTGCTGTATAAGAGTAGAGATCCAGATGACATTGGCAATTATCGCCCAATTTGCTTGCTATCTGTAATCTTTAGATTTCTCCCTCGAGTCAGGCCTCAACAGGATTGACAGAATATTAGGAGAATACTCTTCACGACCAGGATTTCACCATTCTAAAAGGAAGTCATTAATTACGTTAAGAGAGATGTCGGGCAGGGCAATGTCATTTCGGCCAAACTTTTCAGTGCCGCTCTCGGGAGCATCATGTGTTATTTGGAATAGGAAGTTGGACGTGAAGGTTGCCGGCCGCTACCTTCATCATCTCCGCCTTGCAGATGTCATCGTGCTTATAACACCAAACATCGAGAAGGCGGAACGAATGCTGGCCGAATTGACAGTGCTTGTGGAAAGAGCGGCTCGAGACCGAACTCAACAAAGACGATCGTCATGAAAAACGGATTGGTACCTACATGCTGAACGAACCGAAGTTCTCTGAATGCTATGTAAATCTGGGTCGCGAAGTCTATATGATGAGCGACCTAGCACCGGAGCTGAGCAGAAGGAAACGCGCGACTTATGGTGCATTTAAGAACACCGAGGGGATAGTGGAGAAGAAGAAGAACACCCGACTCCGCGCTCACCTTTTTGACACTGCGGTCCTTCCTACCTCGACCCATGTCTTAGAGACTTGGGTTCTAAGAAAGTGGAGTGAGCATGCATTTGGCGTCATTCAACGCTTTGTGGAAAGGACGTTGCTCGGGATCTCTCTAAACACACAAGTGTAGAATGGAACCCATAGTTCCGAGCTTTGTCGACGAACGAATATCAGGGATGCCGCCGATTGTGCCAAGAATTCGAAGATTAGATAGTCTGGGCACATCATGTGATATAGTTATGACCGTCAGATCATGGCGGTTATGGACTAGATTCATCCTGACGTCGAAAGAACACCAGAATGGCCGCCGGTATGGTGTTCAGGCTGCTTCACAAAAGCTCAGAACGGAAGGATGTTTTGTTCCGTGTCCCTCGAGCGAGTACGATTCACTGGACTGTTCTGGTTCGAGACAGGGACGAATGGAGACGTAACCGGAGCCCGCTCGAGGAAGCGATTATCAAACGGACGACAGGTTATACAAGTGATCATACATACATATCTCCCCCATTTTGACAAGGTCTATAGTTAAGGTCTAGTTTGCTCCTCATCAATGAATCCCACAATCTTACAGGGGAGTCAGTGATGGGTAGCATTTTACAATCAGCAGATTGCAGTAGTTGTATTATTGCCATGATAGAACACGATGAAACCGAAATGAACTCAAAATAAGCGTATTACAATTTCAAAATTATTGAGAACGTTACTACCAACATACTCCAAGTGAAACCCCATTTCTGAGCTTCCATAGTTGCAGGATCTCAGTTCAAACTTGGCTCAGAATGGAAACATCGATCATCACAACTATGTGCATGTAGGTGCTCTGGCCTGCAATCGGCTGGAGACATTCCCATAATCAGTGCTGTTCAGGTACTTAGGGACTCTGCACATGATTCGAATTTTGAAAGTTGCGCAAATCGCACATAACCCACATTGGCTACAGTGGTAGTTTACGATCAACCATTTTCAGGAAACTGGTTCCCTACTGCGCTGGCTTCCACTCAGATATGAAAGGTAGAGACATGGACAAAATTCGACAAACAAATAATACAGGCTTCTGACCCCATAGTTTCTCCGATATCCGAAGTCTTTTCAAACTAGTCACCGTGTTCCATAATCAATGCCAACAATCAGAACTCCAGTTCAGATGCTCTCGGTAACCTGCACCACCTTTCTGACCTTTGACAGTAACTTGAATATGTTTTCTATTTTGACTGTTCCTTAATAATATATCCGCGAAAACAGCAACGAGCTTTAGTTATACAGCCTTTACACTCCTACTGTTTGAGCTTATTTTCATAGTTTTTTCTGATGCAGCACAAACCATCCCCCTACTAACTCGTTTGCTGTACCATTCCAAATATTTTCTAAAAGCATCGTTGAGAAAACTTGTGACAAAAATTTGTGCTCTTTCAACGAAATCACATAAAGTCTGTCAATGACAACTAAGATTCTTCACACTGGTTTTCGGTGAAATTAGGCAGAGAAAAATCTGCTAAGAGCAAGTGGTAGCAACAAATGGAAGCCACGGAGAATATCAGAGGCGGCTTTTGCAGCAAAGTTGGCACACTTTTCCGCTTTGACACGTGGCAGGGCCGTCACTTCGACTGCCCAATCTTCCCTAGTTTTCGAGAAAAAAAGGAAGAACTAAGTTAGACATCAGCAAGTTAGCTCCAAACTACGACATTCACTCTATTTATAACTTGATCTTTGAGAGGAACCTTATGAAAGTCGAGCTTTCACCATGCCTGGCCACAAAGAATGCACTCAATAAAAAGTTTTTTTTGAAGCCTTTGACAAGTTGCTGATATGAACTCTTTGGTTTCATCAGCAAATAATACGTACTCTATCCACGAGTACGATTGAAGTTTTCACCTTCTCCGTGATCCCAGCGTGCATACTGCTCTGAGTGTCCCGTTGTTTGTGGGTGTATGTGGTTGCTCGAAAATCCACAGCTTTTAAATGTTTATGTAATTGGAAATCCATAGCTTCTGTTCCCCTAAACGGGAAAGGTTTTAATTCGAAAGGAAAACAGGCGGCAATGCAAGAGCGCCGAAGGTAGCTGGCAGGACTTGATGCTGCACAAGGGAGAGGGTGGGGGGAAGAAGAGGGGAGGGGGGGGGGGGGGGGGGAGAGTGGTCGCTCGAGTGATAAAGTAATAGGAATAGTAATAGTAATAATTCGTTCGAGTAATAATAAGTGAGTGAGTTACACTCTGCCGGCAGGGCAAAGGTGGGAAGAGCAAATGGTAAGAAATATGTGCACAACACAAGCAGAAATGCGCAGCCACCTTGGAATAAATACCGAGTGGATTAAGTTTCATGAGCACACATGTTCTGAACAGGAATCCACTCATGGTAGGCGAGACACGCACGAAGTGTGTCGGGGTATGCAATCTCGACAAACTGACCTTTGTTTTTGTTCTTGTTCTTGTTCTTGATCTTGTGCTTGTTCATGTTCTTGTTCTTGTTCATGTTCTTGTCCTTGTCTTGCCCGAGTTCTCAATCTTCTTCCTTCTTTTTCGTCTTCTTCTTTCTTCTTCCTTTTTCTTCCTTCTTATTTAGCTCCAATTCCTTCATCACCTCCAGTATCTTCTTCATATCCAACTCTCCTCCATCTCCGATTCCTATTTCATTTCCAATTCCTTCTTCATCTCTTGTACCCTTTTCATCTCCAATGCCTACTTTTCTACAATACCCTCTTCATCTCCAATCCTTTCATTTCTACAGTTCCTTCTTTATCTACGATTCCTTCTTTTCTACAACATCTTCTTTTCTACAAATATCTTTTCTTGATGTGATTCTTAATTTTTTATCACCTCTTCATCCCGAATCCTTTTTTATTCAATTCCCCCCTACATCTACTATTGCTCATCCGTCCAAAAAGCCCTCTTCATTTACAATTCCTTCTTTTCTACAATACCCTCTCCATCTCCAATAAGTTCTTTCTTACAATAACTTCATTTCTTCAAATCTCTTTTCTTCAAGTGTTTCTCAATCTCCAATTACTTCATCATTTCCAAATCCTTCTTTATCTCCAATCAGCTCTTCATCTGTTGTGGGCTCACAACCAGTCCACTTAATCACTTTGGGTAATACTCACTATAATTACCTCCTGAGAAGATGCAGAAGGCATGACCTAGCGGTAATATAAGAGTGCCATCCAGTAGGTAACTTAGGCCTTGCCGTTGGCGCGAAGCACCCTTTCATCCCATATCTTAAACTAACTTATACAGTAAATAACCATACTAGATATTTGGGCACCGCCCACATTTATGTGTATATAAGTTTGCAGATTTGTATATTATGGCCGGTCACCTTACCCGTCGTAATTAACGAACTACATGTGTACTGTACAAGTCCAATAGACTACAAAATCACCTCCAATTAGTTTTTCATCTTCAATTCCTTCTTCATCTCCATTCCTCCTCCGTCACCAGTTCCTCCTTCATCTCAAACTCATTCTTGGTCTCTAATTGATTCTTCATCTTCAATTAGTTCCTCATCTTCAATTCCTTCTTCATCTCCAGTACTGTCTTCATCTCCAATTCCTTCTTCATATCCAAATACTTCTTCATCTCCAGTTAGTTCTTCAACGTCAATTGTTTCTTCATCTCCAATTCCTTCACCATCTATAGTTAGTTCTTCATCGTCATTTCCTCCTTCATCTCAAATTGCTTTTTGTCTACAATCCCTTCTTCATCTCCGAATCCTTCTTCATCTCAGCTAGTTCTTCAACGTCAATCATTTCTTCATCTCCGAATCATTCTTCATCTCCAGTACCCTTTTCGTCGTCAATTTCTCATTCATCTCG